CGCACGGCATGCGGGATCCCAGGGAGTTCATGGAGAGGCTGCACAGCGCCCAGGGGCCTCACTTAATGCTTCTGGCTCTGCAGCCACCAAGTTATACCTTCCCCTGGGTTTTAACATAAATATCTCTGTGCCTTATCTATCACCTCAAGGTGGCACCTTGGGGTAGGAGTGGGTGAGCTGCCAGCTGGGAAGCCACCTGCACTGAGCCCTCTGGATGTCCCACGCACAGACCTTGCCGCAGGGCAGGAGCAATTTCTCGGAGCCTGTCTCAGCCGGGGCCGCGGCAGCCCGGCCCCCTCGCCTCGAGCAGCGGCAGGCTCTGCGAGGCAGGCAGCTAGCCCAGGCTGCTGTCCTATCGGGGAGGATCAAGTTCCAGCAGTGCGGCTTTGGTGGTGCACAGCTCGGTCTCATACACCTGAGAGGGGTGGGCACGTCCTCAGCACCAGCGTCGGCACTGTGCGGAGCGCCCGTTCCTATCTCTGGCTCTGCAACACCGCTTGCAACGCTCTGCAGAGCGCAGCTCTCATGGAATTGCCATTTAAATACCGTTGCTAACATCGCTGAATGCAAAGCAAGCCCTGCTGTGACCGTTTCTTGGGGGCTAGCTCAGCTACTTTGGCCACAGGTCATAGCCATCCTGGCCAGGCAAAGCCAAAGCTGCAAAGGAAACGGGCACGCTTCACTTGGTGCTCTGCAGCCTCCAGGGCAGACCCAGCAAACTCTTCCCGCGGGTGGAATAAGCCTTCGAAGGCACTGGCCGCAGGGAGGCCTCCAGGAAAGCCCCAGCGGGCTGGAGGAGCCCGGGCTCTGCGTCCATCCATGCGGCATGGGAAGTCGGGGTGAGCCCTGCAGACGCGACCATTTTAACGCAATTTTCTTGCTGACTTTCAATCGAGTTTTTTTGGAGGTTTCAGAAGAAACTGTTTCTGACCAGAAGGCGGGCACCTAGGCAAGTCTCTTTACTGCGGGCCGGTCTCGGGTGTCTGTGAAACTGCTGACGCAGCATCTTGCAGCCGCAGAAAACAATAACCCAGCATCTTCCCTTCTCCTGCACCGCTCCAACTTTAACCCAAACGGGATCTGGTGCGCAGCCACCTGCGAGCACCCTGCCCGCAGGAACCGTGCCCACCACCCCGCCGCCTGCCGCCCCGTGTCCCAGGCAGGCGTGGGGCCGTCCAGACCCTGCCCTGCTCCCAGAGCCGGGGAAGCCCCTGAGATGCTGG